AATGTTCTACGTAGATTTACATCAGATGTGAAGATCAAAAGCATCTCAGTTGTTGGTGGTGCTGATGGGACAAGTCCTGCAAAGATGAGAGCGTAAGTCCTAATAGTTGACTTCTTATATGTTATTTGCTGTAGCGTCATAAGTTAGTAACCTGTGGTTCACTAATATTCATTATTTGTCGAGCCAGTTTTTGTTGCCATATTAACATGTTCTGTTTATTGTGTAAATGTAGTTTCATCAATCGGGACGGTATTGATTTTTCAGATGCTCAGAATATGCAACCTGTTCAGGTAAAGTAATGTATTGGCTTCTTTGAGGGATTGCGCTTATGATTAATCACTTGTTGGCTTATTTGATCTCCCAGGAGTGGGACTTGGTTGAAAATCTGCAAGGAGTTCTGGAGTACCAGACAAGGTAAACTTTCCAGGCCATAAATGGAGTTGGTGTCCTATATTTATAAGTTTTTTTTTTTTTTTTTTTTGGGACGCAGTTCATTTCTTTTTTCTTCTCTTATTGAGGTAAAGTTTGGTGAAGCTTCCACATTTCAGCACGACATCTTGAACTGCAATTTGTAGAACTTAATTATCGGTTTTGACTTCTGATAGTTTATCTGTATGCTCAATCAGATATTCTAGGTTTCAAAGTGTGGGAAATATTACATTGCATTTTCCAGAGAACTTCGGTGGTGGGACATGTCAAATACATTACATTGGCTTAAAAGGAGAAGCAACGCAGGTATTTTGGTTACAATAGTTGGAATCTTGTATTTTTAGTGTTTGAATGTTATATGATTGTTTGTTCTTCAGCTGAAGAGAGATGTTGTCGCTACCATTGTTTATGAAGTCATGCCAAATCCTTCTGATCACAAGTAAGTTCCATTTGGCCATTCAGAAACTTATTCGCTAAGGGGCCCTGTCTTACATGTGATTAATGTCAGTCTTGTGAAATGCTTGTGATAACATGGTTCTTGATGTAGTAGTTAGTGAACAAAAAGAATTTATGTAGTTATGCCAAACTCATTTGAAATGAGGCTCACTTTGTTGTGTTGAATCAGACTTGTGAACCCGCTTCTTGGGACATGGCCACATCATTATATGGATTATATGCGCATTTTTTTCTTTGCTGAGTACACTATTGTTTCCAAGTGCTAAACACTTAACGCTAGTTCTTTGAATTCACTCTAGATCCATTTTGAAATGTTGGATTTGTGCGCAGAACACAAGCTGAGACGGGTGGTGGCCTATCACAAGTCGAATGACGTTTATGACTATCTGAGCAGCTGGTGCTTCCTAGAATAGCAGTTTACTTTGACACAACTCTCATCAAGGATAGATCTCCCCAGTAACTCTAGAAATACCCCCGTCTGTTCTAAATATTCGAAAATCTCTTTTTCTAGAATGCTAATGCAGTTCGTATCTTTGGATAACTAATTATCTTTTGGTGAAAATAAAATGCTGTGAATTTTTCAATAGTTTAAAATTAAAAAATGTCATGCCCCAGCTCTGTGGCACGTCTACAAGACTACAACAGTAAGTGTCGGCCTTCTACGCAAGCAGGAGGGCTCAACCTATTTTAGTTCGCTCTCATTGTCCATCTTACTCTACAATAATGTGTGCTACATTCATTCCGCCTATTTTTCGCATTTTGATGTGCTGTTTGGCAAGATTAACCACCTATTTTGTACAAGTTATTTAAAATTCATTTTTTTCAAACTGATTCTCATTTGCACATTTTCTCCATAAATAATTTTGCACGTGAATTCATAATTTTTTATTTTTCTTTTTAATCACACGTTCTCTAAAAAATATATATTTTTTACAAAATTTATTTTTAAAAAATTGACATCAACATAGGCAATAATAATGATGAACTCATTGATTTTTTTGCGTTTTAATCACACGTTTTCTAGAAAAAGAAATTTATTTTTAAAAAATTGACGTCAAACGGGCCCTTAAGTTGATTCTGACTACGCGGATTTTGATATTTATTAAGAGAACTGGTTTTGCATGATTCCTTCCGTTGGATTGAGCTCAATTAGACTGGTTGGAAAATGAAAGAAGTTTTTTACCGTAAGAATAATTCAGGTATTTTAAAGAAATTTGAAAATATTACAAATCAGGTGATTTTTAGGTATTCTGATTAAAATCAATCAGTACATAGGGGGTGTTTGGATGGAACATAATAGGTAACATTTCGATTCCGTCAAGAATGGGATTGCGTTATAATTGGGTAGAATATAGTTCCAATATGTATTAAATTGGATGTACAGATGATGATGTTACAGACCTTTTAGAGGTCAATCTCATGAAGGTAGGGCCCATGTGGGACCCGATACATTAAAAAATGGCCAAAAATAACACCGATCTCATTCATTGTGATTGATCTGTAAAACATATATAAGAATCCTCCCCTAAGTCCTCCTAACATACACTTTTCGAATTATCAATAGCTACAATTATTTAGCGGCGCGCGCTTTTCGTCTCAGCTAGGTTTACGCTTTCCACTGGTAACTGACAGGAAACCTAAAATCAAAAACACTCAATAATCTCCGTAGTCAAAAACCACGTAAGTCTCCAATTCACGTACTTGTTTCGTTGAATTCTTTTATTTATCATCGAAGAAGTTAACTCTTCCGTGGATATTTTAAAATTCCTACTTTGAACATCAGAATTACGCTAGAGGTTTTTAATTGTGTGTTTAACGCGAGCTGCTAATGGATTTTTAGAGAAGAAATTGGAGAAATGTTGAGTTTCATTAACAGATGGATTATTAAAGCTCAGCAGTTCGTTCTCCAAGTTCTTTGCAGGGAAATGAACTAAATATTTAAACCTGTTATTGGTTTGGGGTGGTTCAACATAGCGAAAGTATTGTTCTTTTGATATATTAGAAAGGCATATAAACAGAATTGGGCACCAGTGAGACTTGGTCCAATCCGTGCAGTTTGTTTCTATCTGTAACATGTCTCTGACTGGGGTTGTGTTGTCTATGTTTTATTTCAGATAAGCTAATTCAAGCTTCAATTTTTTATTTTTATTTTCAATTGCATGCATATTTTCAAGCTACGTCTTGGTTTACACCTAATTTTTCTGTTTACTATTTTGATAGCGAACAGACATGCAGGCTTGTAGTGGATTTGCAGTTATGGGTTCCATTCAACAGCCAATTTGGACCAAGGAATCGGTTTTTCCTTTAAAAGGGCTTGGTGTTGGTGGATGCTCAAACCTTGTTAAATTTAGTTCAGTTAAACCCTGCCGTTCATCTCAACTTGAAGGGAACTTAGTCAGTGGGAGGCCACCCACTTCTGTGTTTGTTCCTGAGCCCGAAACTGAAGGTAGTGATCATTCTGAGTTTATGTAGTAACTTATTTACAGGCATCACAGAACTATGGATTATCATGATATCTGCTATATATTTGGGAAATTTAATTGCTAGTTTGGAGTATGCCAGTTTGCTTGAGTATGTGTGAACCATCTTCGTCAGGATGCCCATGCGCTTGTGTGTAGATATGTCTATCTTTTGTTTATTTCCTTTACTCTTAAACATATTTCCTTGCTGCTTGAAGTTCTGCATATGATTCTGGTAGGATAAATGGAGAAGATGACAATGTTTCTTGTGTTAATGTTTGAAATCTGAAATTTGACAATCCAATTTTTCCTGAGACAAACTGCAGCACTGTAGGGATCTACTTCATAATGGAGAGTGACCAATGGCATAAGCACCTTAGGATTGGCTTCCTAGTTAAATTGTCCTCAATTTTGAGTTTCCAGTTAACTTTATTACTTGGTAGAATCAGAACTTAGCCTTAAATATAGGTCTCTGTTTTAATGTGTATTCACTTCAATTAAATCTGATAATCTAATTCAAGGCAGTTGGATTTCATTTAAAACCTAAAACTTCGTCTTGAATCCAAGTATCCGTTGCTTCCACCTGTGTTAAATTACTTCTGTGACGTTTCTTAGGGATGATTGCTAAAGTTAGATTCTATAATTTTCTTTAAAAAACTTTGACTTGACATTAAATTTGATTATTCATCACTGGGATTCATTTGATTTTAAACTTGCGGTACTTATTCACTGGTGTGAATTTGAATAATTAGGTGCTGGGAGTAGCTTTGTGGACTATAACTTGAGTGAATCTGATCCTGAGGTTCGTACCATTATTGACAAAGAGAAGAATCGCCAATTTAGAAGCTTGGAACTTATTGCTTCGGAGAATTTCACATCTCGAGCAGTGATGGAAGCAGTTGGTTCTTGTTTAACTAATAAATACTCTGAAGGGCTACCTGGCAAAAGGTAAGCTGTATGGATTTATATTAGGAGGGAGGGATATACAGATGGAGAGATAAGCAATTATACATTATCTTGAATTTATCATTATCTACTATGGATAAAAAATTTCATTCGTTCAGGTACTATGGTGGCAATGAGTTCATTGATGAACTTGAAGTTCTTTGTCAAAAGAGGGCTCTTGCAGCATTTAGTTTGGATGCAAAGAAATGGGGTGTAAATGTTCAGCCATTATCTGGTTCTCCAGCTAATTTTGAAGTTTACACGGCAATTCTTAATCCTCATGACCGCATAATGGTAAGTTGTATGCTGTCTGCAGCCATTTTAATCAATTTATAGTAATACCTGGATTTATATGTACTCATGTATTTTTTATTCACTTCAGGGTTTGGATTTACCTCATGGGGGTCATTTATCCCATGGTTTTATGACTCCCAAGAGAAGGGTGTCAGGCACGTCTATTTATTTCGAATCCATGCCCTATCGGCTTGATGAATCTACAGGTCTGTGTCTCTGTTGTGAATCGGGTTGCAGTACTGATTCATAGATAAACCATAGTTATTAGTTGATTTTAATTTTTTTTTTTTTTTTTTTAAACAGGTCTTGTGGACTACGATATGCTTGAGAAAACAGCTACTCTCTTTCGACCAAAACTTATTATTGCTGGTGCTAGTGCTTATCCTCGGGATTTTGACTATCCACGAATGAGAAAGGTACGTTCATATACTAATTTATATCATCGTTGTTTGATTAGAGAAACTTTTTTCGTGCGTTTGGTCTTGATCAGTTTCGGTATCTAATTATTTGTTTTTAATATGCCTTTTAGATAGCAGATGCTGTTGGTGCTTTTCTCATGATGGATATGGCTCACATTAGTGGACTTGTTTCTGCTGCTGTTGTTGCTAATCCTTTTGATTATTGTGACATTGTAACAACCACAACACACAAGGTAGGTCTTGATTCTTGAACGGAGATATGAACCGAGAGGCTCCAAATCTTTTTATGTTCTTTCATAAATTTTCTTATCATGTGAAACTTAGAATAGTTATGATTTTGAACTCGTCAAATTATCTAGGTGACAGCCTTCTTTGTAGTTGCCATACATCATGTGAACTAACAACCAACTCATAACTCTGTACTTATCTGGATCTGAAGCACCTTTCAAGATGTGCTGGCCATATCTCTGTAACAATTATTTGTTAATCCTTCCTTTTAAAATGTGCAGCTCCCAAAGAAAAAAAGGGACACCATCACGGGTGATGGAAGAACAATTATCTTTTAAGTTGTGAATCTGCTATAGAACCAATTGGAATATGTATGTTTAGAATTTTTGGAGCAATATTATAGGTTTCATTAGCCGATCTTCTTGTTTGGTAGAAGTGCATGTGTACAGTTGACTGTTTGGTACAAGCTTGGGACTGAGCAGCTTGCCTGTTACAACTATGCTTCATTTATGCATATTTTCTGTGTTACAGCTATTAATGTGGTCCCAGTAGAATTGTACTTCAGTGCATTATATAACTTGGACATATTTCTTCAGTCTCTCAGGGGTCCTAGAGGGGGCATGATCTTTTTCAGGAAGGATCCTGTTCTGGGAGTTGATCTAGAATCTGCCATTAACAATGCTGTTTTCCCAGGTTTACAGGTTTGTAAATTCCCATCTTTGCTGGTTATATACTGGTGAATATGATCTAAATATTCATATTTTCAGCCTTGAAATTAGAAAATATACTGAATTTGAAATTATTTTTTGGCTATTATCTTGAACAGGGAGGTCCCCATAACCACACAATCGGTGGACTTGCCGTTTGTTTGAAAAATGCAAAATCACCGGAGTTCAAGGCTTATCAAAACAAGGTAAATGTTGCTTTATTTTGGTTAATGCACAACCCTGTATTACTCCATATTTGACACCATTATTTCATCTCTCAGGTGGTCTCTAATTGTAGAGCTCTTGCAAGCCGCTTGATGGAATTGGGATACAAACTGGTATCTGGAGGCAGCGATAACCATTTAGTTCTTGTGGACCTCCGGCCCTTGGTGAGTTTCTGGTTTCTATTTCCCAGTTGTACATTTAAAAACTCGTAAACATGTCATATATTATATATCAATCAACCTTTGCCTGCTTCATAGGGAATCGACGGTGCCAGAGTGGAGAAAATTCTTGATATGGCATCCATCACCCT